AAATAAATAAAATCTTTAAAAAAAAAAAAAAGAATGGATAGTCTGACACGCTACAAATGGATGAACTGTGAAAACTACATGAAATAAGCCAGGCACAAAAAGACAAATATTCAATGATCCTACCTATATGCGGTACCTAGTTATTCATTAATGAGTACAGGGATTCAATTTGCAATGATGGAAAAGTTCTAGAGATGGATAGTGCTGATGGTTGCACCATAATGTGAATGTACTTAATGCCACTTAATTGTAGGCTCAAAAAAAGCTAAAATGGTAAAGCTGATGGCTGTATATTCTACTGCAATAAAAGAGGAAAGGAAGTAACCTTCGTTTAATGTACTGTCATTCCTGAATCAACCCAGAGAACGTCAGTGCTACCGGTCTAGTCTGATTCCAGCTGTACGTGAAGAAGAGGCCCCACTGCTTCAAGGGTACATGGGCTTTCATGGCGTTCACAGCTGTGCAGGCCCCCTTTTCCCATGTGGATCCTTAAGAACATTCACTGACTCTGCCATACAATGCACCTGCCCCCAAGCTTCCATGGCTGGAAATTACAGGAGAATCTGCCTTGTCCCATGAGTTGTACCACCCATCTGATGATTACTCACTTGTTACTGCAGACCAGCCTCCAAGGGACAAACTAGCAGTAAACCTCTTTGGGTTCACTTTTTCTAGACTCCCAGCCTAGAGGAGCAATACCAGAGCTCAGTATTACAGACAGAAGGGACTGGGTTCGAATTTCAGTTCTCCATATTATTACTTGTGTGGCTTTAGGAAACTCACTTAAGTACACCTCAGTTTCCTCATCTATAAAATGGGAATATGACTGTACCTACCTCCCAGAGTTGTGCGAAGGCCTAAATGAACTGATAATATAAGTGCCTCACCGAGTGTCTACAGTAAAATGAGTATTCAGTGAATACAATTTTCATGGAAGAGATACATTACAGGCGGTAACAGGGGTAGAGTGAGGATGGTCATTCATGTCATGATAGGAGTTGAAATCTAGGCCCTGTACAATCTGAACCTTGCACAGACCAGCCAACCAGGAGGAGCCTCAGGAGTGAGCAGGGATACCAGCAGGTGATTAAATAGGGCTTTCTAGGGGGATAGGTGGTTCTCAAAGAATCCTTTTTACTTCTTCTCATCCCTCACCCAATTCCTTAATCTTTGGGGTAGTCTCCTTTTGGAGATAGATGTATATCATTTTCTTGCGTCTACTAGAAAGCTTACTCATTCATGCTTAGGAAATATCTTGAGACCTGAATATCCAAAGAATTTAGGATAATGTTAACATAATGCCAAGTAAACAGAAAACCCATTAAGGAGAGTTCTAGGATGAAGTCATTACCGTCCCTGTGATGGTGCGGACGACCTCTGGCTGCACAGTAAGGCTTCTCCATGATTTCAGTCAATCAGATTATCACACTGATAGTGTTGAATTGAACTCACTAACTTTAATTATTTTCTTAATTTTAATTATTCAGGTGCATCTTCCCAAAACCTGGAGAGATTTCTAGAAACGTAAGTGAAAGAGGGATATATGAAGTTGTTTTTAGATTGGATTTCTCATTGTGAAGAAAGAAGGGAAACCCTCTGTTTTCACCCGGTAATCACTTGTACTGAGCACCAATACCTTGCTAGACACTCCCAAACACTGGAACATTATCACTTCTTGGGCCAGTGGACATAGGAAGTGATTAATTTGCATATGTCCTTGAAGAAGGATCATAAAAATGCATACAAAGGGGGTCAAACTTAAGTCTAGCCAAAGTAGCTGAAAAAGGGCAAAAAAAAAATTGTATTTCATTTTCCTACTTAATGTGCTCATTTTGAGCTTAAAATTCAGAAACAAGGCCCTGGGTGCCCAGAATGGAAACCTTGGGAAACCCTGGAATTTTGAAAGTTCAATACAGGAGCTCAGCCATCAGGATGTCCTACAAATCTGGACAGAAGGAAGCCAGTAACACTTGAGGACAAACACTGTGAAAAATCCTAAGAAGATGGTACCGTGTGCGCCTCCTGGAGACTTCAATCCACTCTTTTCAATTCTATGCATTTATGTGGTCTTTCCCTCATGGGGAAGTAATTTACAGATTATACAGAAGAAGGGGGAAATGGGAAGAGTGATTCTGAAATGAAAGAAAAATAGCAAAAAGTTACCAAAGTGGGAGACACACAAAGATCCTTTCACGGGCCTAGGCTATGACATTGGCTGTGACGAAGTTCAGTTTCTGAGGGCTTGCCATTCAGAGTCCATCTCTGGCTTCTCAGTTTGTCTAGGAACCAACTGTTGGACCATCCAGCCATCGTCATATACGCCATGATTGGAAATGATGTCTGCAAAGGGTGAGTTATGGAGAAAGAAGGTTTTGAAAATGCTTGGACTCTGGGGTCCCCCTCTTCTCTTCTCCACTCCACTGTGTTACACTAGCCTGCTGTTGAGTTGAATTTCTCTGTCTTAGCAAGTCCTAGAAGCATATGAAATTGATAGAACCAACGCATAAAGCTGAAAGACCCTTTAAAAAATATCTGATCCATTAATTCTCTGCTCTGATTCCCAACAAATGGGTATGTCACAATACAAGTTCTCAGTTGTATCACAAGATATATGCTGCTTCTAGCCAAGAATCCAAGACTGAATATTGTGGCCTTTTAAGTAAAATAAAGCCGAATTATAGCTACCCCATAAGAATAGGTTCCTCACTCACATTCTGATGTGGTAGAGACAGCGTAGACTCAGAGCATTCGCAAACAAACTGTGTATAATTTACAGCCAGTCCTACTTATGTCCATGGCCCATAGTATGAAAACAGTTTTGCTAACCGGCTAATATCGGTAGTGATTGCAAAATGTTGAATGCCTTAGTCTCCCATAACATTTTGGAAGGTTTCTCAAAAATTGTGTGTACCCCTAAGAATATGCTGCACATGTGAATTCCATCTGTCCTGTGATTGTGGCCAAAAAGAAAGAAAGAAAAAAAAAAAGGTGAGATCAGATCTAGAACAACTCCCCAGTAGCCACCCATCCACCATTTTAGAAAACAGAAAAGTAAAGCCAAGAGAGATTATGTGACTTGCCTGATTAATTGATTAATGGCAGAGCCGGCCTCCAAACCAAGAGATACTAGAAGTAGGTCATCCTACTCACTGCCCGTCCCTTGCTTTCACTCACCAAGCTTTCTAAGCCTGTGTTAAAAACCCAGTTCAATATTAGTAAAGTGTGTTTGCTCTCACCAACACCTCCGTGAGGTAGGAGAGCCCTGGAACTCTCACAGTGAAGGAGGTGTAGACCTAATTAGTGAAGTGAATGCAGGTCAGGAAATACCATGCTGCGATGAAGAGATGCTGATGTGCTAGACCCTGCCTTGGCACCCCCTGGGCTGGTTTACCACCCTCCCCAGAACCCCAAGGCTCCCAAGGCCCCACCCTGGGGTCCCAAGTCCCAACTTCTGTGATGAGCCACATGGAACTCGCTGGTAAATAGCAAACACCCCCCAAACTCTCCATGAACCAAGAGTCACACCACTCCCTAGATCATCTCATCCCCACAGCAGCCTTAAGAGGAAAGCATGATTGCCCCTATTTTATAGATGAAGAAACGGGTTCGGCAAGGTTAAGGAACTCGCTTATGTTGCTATGAGTAGCAAGGTTGAGAGGCAGACCAGGTTCTCCGATGAAGTTCTGTGCTCTTTCCATAGTCCACACCTGCCTTAACCGCTCTCTTTTAGGCAATCACTTTTTTAAACATATGTATTGACCACCTGTGATGTGCCAAATGCTGTGCCAGGCTCTGGGACATAATGGCAAAGAGCCCACAGTGCCTGCCCGCAAGGAGCTTAGGGAAGGAGAAGCACTGAGCTTCAGCCCCAGCCCCATCACAAAACAGAATGAACCTATGTGACATCAGCCAATGCCCCTCCAGCCTCTGGATCATGTTCCCCCAGAGGGGACACAGAGCAAACTGGGGATAGTGAGCCCAGGACACCTGCAGAAAGAGGCTTTGACTCCAAGAGCCCAAACCCCTGCAACTGCATTTTCCAGCAGAACCTGCTTACTCAGAGGCCCTTCCAGCCCAGGCTTGCTTTTCCTTTTCCAAGGAGCCAAAGGGCAGGCAGATATCAGCCAGAGACGTGTGCCAGTCTCTCCCCCCCGCCAGGGATCTGGGCAGAGGAGCAGCGAGCATGTGGGGGAAAGAACGGGGTTGGCAGCGTGGGATGTCCCTGCAGTGCCCACTTCGCAATGTCCTGTGGCAGGGTTAGAAAAATACAGACAGATGGCAGCTATACCTCCCCATCTGCGAGCACGGCAAGGTGGAGTAGACAACCCAAAATGAGCAAAGCGATCTCATAAAAAGCTCAAGCCAGCAACGAGTTGCATAATAAGTCCATCCTGGAACAAGTTTGGGGATATTTGCTTGACTTTTTTCTTTCCTTTTTTTATGATGACGCTAGCATTTACTGAAATAATGCAGTCATGTGCTTCTCTCTCAATTCTCCAAACTCACGCAGTTACTCAATAAATACGTGCTAAATGAATGAAGGTCATGATTGGAAGATCGCTTTTTAATGTCTGGAATTTAAGAAGAAAAGTAACATAGACGAACACAGCTTTCCCCTGTGACTCTACTCAGTTTGGCCAAAGCTAACCCAGCTTCCCCTGGCTTTTCCTATCACTCCCCTTGAAAACTCTGGAATGTCTGTGATACAAAAGGAGAAAAATGCCTGGAAATAGGGCAAATTTGAGTGAGCTACAGCAGCAGAACCATGAGTAGCAGGGGCGGCCTGGGAAAGGGAAATGGCTTTAAGGGCCTCAAACCATAAACGCTTCCTCCACCCCCCAACATGACATCCCTGAGAAGAATGTCGAAATTGCCAGAAGTGAGATAGAATTATAAAACATCTAATGCTAGCCACGTATATTGACATGCTTCCATTTTTTTATGGTGGACCTAGACGAAATTAATTGTACATTTTTCACCTAATGAAAAGAGCCAGGACCACCCTACAAGGGTTGTCTGTGTCCCCCGGCACCCAAGCATTTCTTTTCTGCAATGCCAATGCTTCCGATGTCCCTAGGACAGCCGATCAGCACTGCATTAAGAGGAAACCAGCAGGGGTAACTGGGTGATGGACATTAAGGGAGGCACGTGATGTAATAAGCACTGGGTATTATGGAAGACTGATGAATCACTGACCTCTACCTCTGAAACCAATAACATATGTTAATTAATTGAATTTAAATTTAAAAAACATTTTTTTTAATAAAAAAGAGGAAACCAGCCAATGTGCTGATAGGTCACTGGCCCTAAGGAGACTGCACTGGCAGGAAACAATCCATTCCATCCAATCAAGTGGTAGAAAAACCAGCAGGGAAGGGAATGCCCAGAGGAGTTCTTTCTCCCAGCCTCCTCAGTTGAGGCAAGGGTGGCCAAGGGAAGGATAAGGAGGTTCCCAACCAGCCAGCATGTTCCAGGTCACCCCCACTTTCAGGGACCCAGGACTTCTATGCATGGGGTAACGTGGGCCCGGTGCGTCCCTAGCTCCTCCCCAGTCTGTGTCAAGAAGCCTCCTGGGGGGGGGACGGGGGGAGGACAGTGATGTGATTACAGCTGGCTGGCCTGAAGGAAAGGGCTCCCTATGGTTGCCTGGCTGCTGAGAGAACCCAAATGCTAGCTTGAGTGAGGGCTGAGCACTCAGTCGGGACGCGTCTCTGGCCTTCAGCTCTACTTCTGGGAAATATTTTCCACAGAGGCTGTTTGCCTTCTTCCTTAAGAGGGGGCACATCTCTCTGGCCTCAGCCAGGTGAAATCTGGCTCAAATAGCTGCCAGGGTAATGGAAGGATCACAGCCGGCCCTGCACCCAAGTCACGAGGCTCATTTTCAAGATCAGACACAATCCCTGAGGACGAGGACAGGCTCTGAGCCACCCAAGGGGCGAGGCTCTTTCTCTTCGGCCCCCCGCATGCTCCTGGCCTGTGAGATCCCAGCCCGGGACGCCAGTGCTCTCTCATCACATCCCCCAGGCTTGCCCTCTGTAAGCTCAGCACCCCTAACCCCTCACCTCTCCGTCTGAGTGACTGGTGTGAGCTCACCAGGGTGTGCGGAGGGATGTAGGGCACTGGGGTGCGCAGGCAAAGCTGGGCTGGCAAAGCGGACCTCACACAGGTTCCAGCACACGTGGGCACAAAAGGGTTAGACGCTTCCAGCTCAGCCCGTTCAGTCTGCAGCGGACATCAGAGAAGGCCTAGGAGATGTTTTCCAAACCGCTGGGACTCTGGTCTCCACAATACTAGTGCTGAGTCTCCTCAAAAACCACCAGAGGAGAAGGAGTACACAGATCAAAATGGCATTGAGAATTTTTCAGGGACAAAGTCAGAAGGCACATTCTATGGCATCCAGAAGGGCTGACCCACAGCCTGTCACTTAGACCCATTTGCCCTTGCCTGAACTAAGAATCAGTCAATTTGGGGGCGCCTGTCTAGCTTAATCAGTAAAACATGTGACTCTTGATCTTGGGGTTGTAAGTTCAAGCCCCACGATGGGCCTAGAGCTTACTTTAAAAAAAAAAAAAAAGAATCAGTTAATTTTGCTATGCACATTAAAGTGTTTAACTGATAAGGCACATGTGTAACTTAACATAGCTGTGCATAATGGAGCAAAGATGACTAGAGAATGTTCCACCAGCAACACCAAGGCTTCCATTTTGTTTTCACTTAGTAATTAGCCATTTGGGTTATGCTTGCTTCAGTTATGGGGTGCTCTTGCAAAAGCACAAATTAGCTCAGAATATTTGTTACCATCAGGGTTGTATGTCTAGCCAAAAAATAATCATTAAATAGGGAGTTTGGGAGACTTTTCTCCATCTTAACTCATCTTGGCTTTATGTGATTGGAGAGTCATAGCTCAGCATAATTGCTTTGTGCCAAAGCGCTAGTGTATCAGCAGGAAAAGGCAAAAAACAAAACAAAACTGAAGTGCCAAAGCAAAAGTTAATAAGCAGTATGCGCTCACCTTACCGATGATGGAAGATAGGGTACGGACACCGGCTTGCTTCCATTTCACCCCTGCTGTCACCCCACACACACAGTGAATATCAAACCTGGTTACTCTGACTGGGTCCTCCTGGGCTGAGAAAACCCACAAGGCAGCCTGAATCCTCTTCACAAACTGGGATCCTTCTAGCACTTCTGCACATATGCAAGTCAAGCCAAAGCCCCTACCCAGCCTTCGGTCCTTAGTAGGTAGGCAACCTATTCTCATATCCATCCTTATGAGAGCTTTTTATTCAGGTTAGGGAGATTTTTACTCATAAAGTAGTATGATTTTTTCCAAGGTAACAAAAAACATGAATTTAGCATTCTGTTCTATACGCGGGGGGTTTTGTAAAATAGGACATCTTTCTTTCTTTTCTTTTCTTTTTTTTTTTTTCAGGCAGGTTGGGAGAGTCCTAAGCAAACCAATAGATAGTGTAGAAGGATGTACACCACCCACAGTTAAGACCTTACTGGTAACCCCTAACATCAGCCTTATTCTGCCTTCTCCTCCGTATGGGTACATATTGTTTGTCACAAATGAGCCAAAGTGATCTTTGCATCCGTGACCAGCCTGTCATCTCTGGATAGCAGTAATTTAGAAAGTGATTTTATTTGACTAAGTGAAATAGGTGGGGGACAAATGACATAAAACTACAATGCTTTCTGCTTCCATTAAAGCTTAGGTGGGGTCCGGTTTTTTTTCCCCCTTCCTTGAGAGAGAATAAAAATAATATGAGAATCTGTTTTATTTTTATTATTTTTCTGATTACAAAATAATATCTGTTGTGAAAAGTTCAAATAATACAGGGTGTAGGAAGTGAGTGTCCCCATAATCACTCCCTACCAGCGCCCCCACCAGCCTGCTCCAAGCTAACCAATGGAGACAGTTTAATGTATTTGCATCCAGATTTTTTCTATGCAAATTCTAATTTACAGGCTGATTAATATTCATTGAAATGAAATAATAGTATGCTTACTGCTCTGTAATTTGTTCTTTTCAATCAACAATACTTTTTTAGCAGTCTTTTCCGTGCTAATACATACAAACTACTTCATATTTTTTTATTTTTTTTATTTTATTGAGATAAAATTTACATCATATAAAATTAACCATTTTGAAGTGAATAATTCAGCGGCATTTAGTAATTCAGAATGTTGTATAACTATCACCTGTATTAGTTAGCTTCTTTCTTTTTAGTCCCCGTATAGCCTTCTACCTCATGGATGCACTAACATTTATACAACCAGGCTTTTTGGCTTTCTCTAACTTTACACTATTTAGCACAATGTTGCAATACTTGTATGTACATCTTTGCAAATTTGTGGAAATGCTACTGTAAATTTCAAGGTCAAAAGTTAAGCCAACTTCAAAAGTTGATACTTTTTTTTTTTTTTTTTAGAGAGAGCACCCGCTCGTGCCCACAAGTGGGAGGGGCAGAGGGAGAGAGAGAATCTCAAGCAGACTCCCCACTGTGTGCGGAGCCCAACTCCAGGCTCAATCTCATGACCCTGAGATCACGACCTGAGTCAAAATCAAGAGTCAGATGCTTAACCAACTGAGCCACCCAGGCGCCCCAAATGTTGATACATTTTGAAAAATTCCCTCCAAAATGGCAGCATCAATGTCCATTTAGGAACTCACTTCGAAGTGATAACCGTAGAGGGGCGCTTGGCTACCTCAGTAGGTAGAGCATGTGACTCAGGGTTGTAAGTTCGAGCCCCATGTTGGGTACAGAGACTACTTAAAAATAAAATCTTAAAAAAGAAAAATTAAATTTAAAAAAGGCGATAATAGTGGACATCCCTGGGGGCTTCTTTCTGTCCCTTCCTTCCATGTCACTTATGCCTCAGGTCCAGCCTGTGAGTAGTAGACTTACTTTTCCTGGTTTGGAATCTGTATTAAGTTCCCCATAGCTGCCTTAACAAAACACCACACACTGGGTGACTTCAAACAACTCGCACAGTTTTGGAGCTTAGAAGTCCAAACTCAAGGTGTCAGCAGGGCTATGCTTTTTCTGAGAGGTCTAGGGGAAAATCGTCTCTTGTCCTTTATGCTTCCGGGGGGCTCCTGGCATTCCTCAGAATTCCTCGGTTTGTAGCAACCTAATTCCAGTCTCTGTTTCCAGCTTCACATGGCTTTCTTTCCTGGGTGCGTGTCTGCGTGACACCTTCTCTTCTTGGAAGGACACTTGTTTTTTGATTTAGGGCCATCTCTAACCCAGTATGACCTCATCTTTACATTTGCAAAAACCTTATTTCCAAATAAGGTCACATTCTGAGGGAAACTATTCAACCCACTATAGGATCATTATGTAAATTTGGGATTTTAAGGACTCAAAATAGAAAACAATTTATTATTCCATTTAGGTTAACAAAAGGCAGTTTAAAGAGTAGATGAAAATCTTAGAGAATTCTACAATCTACTCCCAGGTTAATTCAGGTTAGTATCTTAACTCAATGTATTCCTAAAAGTGTGTAAGTTCAAATTCAATGTAGAAAGGAAGGATGTAGTGTGGATACATACTGTCATTTTATTTCTCAGTAAAGTTGCATTTTCCTAACTGTGATATATGTGAAAAGTTTCAAGACGAAGTTACAGGTCTCAAAGGGTCTAACAAAGAATAAGTAATACCAGACTCCTTTGATTCTATTAACTGTGTGTATCAGTCAGGATAGGTAAGGACATGCTGCAGGAACAAACAGCCTCAAATCTTAGTAGCATAAAGCAACAAACATTTACTCATACTATATTGTTGCCCAGGGATCACCGTGGGACTCTATTCCAGGACTCAGATTAGTGAAGCAGCTGCAATATAGAACACTGCCCAGACTCATGGCAGAGAGCATTCTAGAGGTTCTCATATCAACAAACGTGACACATGTCACTTCTGCTCACAACTGATAGGCTACATCAGTCCCATGGCCCACCCAACCACAAGAAGAGTCAGGAAGCTTAACATATTTTGCAAATAACACCAATAACTACTACATTGTGTGTATGGGGCAGGGGGAGGAGAGGTAGAGGTGTTAATGTATGTGTATGCATTTATCCTTATCTACTAAGATATTTTCTGTTTCTTTCACCAACAGGAAAGTTGACCCAGTCGCAGCAATGACCACTCCCGAGAAATTATACTCCAATATCATGCGGACTCTGAAGTATCTAAATTCCCGCCTGCCAAATGGCAGTCATGTTATTTTATACGGCTTACCAGATGGAACATTTCTCTGGGATAATTTGCACAACAGATATTATCCTCTCGGTATTAGTTTGAAGATACTTTTACTCCTTTTTTTAAAAGATTTTATTTATTCATTTGAAACAGAGAGATACAGGGAGAGAGAGCACGAGCAGGGGGAAGGCAGAGGGAGAGGAGAAACAGACTCCCCATTGAGCTGGGAGCCCGATGTGGGACTCAATTCCAGGATCCCAGGATCATGACCTGAGGCGAAGGCAGACGCTTAACCATCTGAGCCACCCAGGCACCCCGATACTTTTACTCTTTAGCAATGTCAGTTATACATAGTTCGAATATATGTAGTTCAAACCATATAGGAATACACCTAAAATGCCACCATGGTGTATAGGTCAGAGCTGGTGAAGGCAAGAGCCCTGAGGTACGGATCTAAAGGCCAGTATCCAAAGATGGTCAGAACCAGATCTAAAGTCAGAAAGGGCAGAAATTTTTAATGTAGAATTAGGACAAATTGAAGGGTAAGAATTTAAATCAGGAAACTCCTTTAACAAAAAGTGAGATCTAGAATAAGCAGATGAAGCTCAAGTCAAAGAGAAGGATTTCTCCAAACCTCAATGGTGAGTGCCCCCTGGTGGCCAGAATTCTAAGAAATTCTGTGGACCCTGGTGGCAGTTAAAATTCTACACAACACATGCTCCAGGGGGCTTGCTTCCTACTTCTACACTCTGTTGGAGTCCTTGGCTCTGAAATGCTTTAAAGATCTCCAGAAACTTTCAATAGCATCTCTAGCATTCCAGATGCCTTCTGAACATTGTAAAAGTAATAGTAATTCACATCAGGAAGGGCTGGCCATGCTGATCCTTAAAACAATCCTGTTAATCCAATTAATGATATTTTTGTTAATTTCGTTTTATAGATGAAAAGCCCAAGGCTCCAAATGTTGCATAGCTTATTGTATATGTAATCTGGGTATAGTAGGGCTCTCTCTCTCCGTGTTTGGGGGAGAATGTCCTTTCAAAAAATATTTATTAGGTGCCAGGCACTGTTCTAGGAACCGCATAACCATCAGTGAACACAATAATCAAAAATCCCTGCCAATGTAGGCTTGTATTCCAGGAGTATGCCAGTGTGACTAAAAAAATTAAGCAGGGAAGGGGGATAGGAAGTGCTGGCCTCAGACCTCTCTGACAGGCATCTACAATGAGAGCCTAGATACCCTCCCCTCAGCCTCATATCAACAACCCCTTGCCAGTCTCTCCTTAAAGAGGTCGCCCCTTCCCTAGTATTGCCATAGCCTCCTCCTTAGACCGACCGCTGCGAAAGTGTTCTGGAGATCCAAGCAGTTTCTAATGAGTCAGATGAGCAATTCAAAGGGAAAAACCTAAAACTCCTTCCTCAGTGTCTACCTCAGGGGGTGGGGGTAGAGCGCTTTTCCTTGCATTAATAACTTCTCTGTACCTTTCCAGTCTCCTCTTCTCCTCCTGTAGTCCCTGTTTAAGCCAACCCCCACCCCTCCTAACACACGAAAAGAGCAGGTTCCCTTTAACCAGTTCTCAAAAGACTCTGGTCCCTTCACCAGGGGCACAAGAGTAAATACCCGCTTTCTAGGCTTCCCACCAATAAGACTGAAGTCATTTTTCCTCTTCAGTTACCAAGTGCACCACAAATATCATTATCATCCCAGCAAAACATTGTCCAGCCTCTCAAGAGGAAAGCATATTCTTTCTGTTCCCACAGCTTTGACCGTGACCCTTAGAAATAGTAACACGGTCACACAGAGAACATGTCTCCATTCTGGGCTTCCTTGAACACATAAAGCACAACCACATGGGCCAAGAATGTCTCTTTGAGCCTTTGGGGTTGAAAATTTCGGTTCCCCCAACAAATGTTTTCAGATTCCTAGATTTGCCCCATACTAAGAAATGCTTGGGGAAAGGAAGTTGAGGACAAGAGAGATGTGCTTCCATTTTACTCTATCACATCAGTGGGGACTTGACTTTGGGTTTTCTGACTTCAAATCCCATTTTCTTTCCATGAACTCTGGTTAGATAACTCCATAAGTTCTCTCGGATATGCCACACAATTCACTTGACTCAACCACAGTAGGTAATAACAACACCATACAATTTGGAAGGGAGCAAGGGAGGGAAAGAAGGTAATTGGGGAGACCCATCAATCACTTTGGTGGATTCTCTAGGCCAGTGGTTTTCATGTCACCCCTACTCATTATCGCAACTGGAGAAGGGGTGTTATTAATATCTAGTGGGATTCTCCTAAACATCCTATAATGCACAGGACAGCCCCCCACAACTAAGAATATCAATAGAGCCAAGGTTGAGAAACTTTGCTTTAGGCTTTGCCTTGTCCTCAAATGGCCTTTCACCAACCACTGATCGGGCACTAGCATTTTGCAGCATAAAAGAGGAAGAACGAACAGGTAGAATGAGTTTTTTCTATATAAACAACCCTTGTTTTGAAAAAAAAAAAAATCCAATTAGGAAGAAAGTTGAAACCATCTAAAATTTATTTAATGTTTTTAAGTTATTATTCATATCCTAAATTATCCCTGCTGCCTGGTTGCCATGGGATATAAATTATAAATTCCTCAACGAAGCATCAGTATCCTTCCTAGACAGCCTGGGGAAGTAGGTGGGATTTACCCAGCTTCCTCATTTCTCCTTTGGCTGGCGCATAACTCACATAAGACGAGAGGCTTGAGGAGAGGGCTACTGCCCTGTATCTCAGTTCTGCTCTGGCTTCAAATCCAATCTTTGGACCTTCACTCCCATCAGACGTGAGCCAGCAGGAAAGCAGGTTAATGCCAGGCCAGTCTCAGGGTTTTGCTGCTCTTCAAGGTTAGGGTCGGTCTCATCTTAATCAATAGCCAAACACGGAGTCTGATTCCCAAGGCACTATGCTAAGGATTGTATAAGCAAATAAACGGGGTTTTCCATTTATTTCTGTCTTTGAGCCTAGAAACATGGTGACGATACTCTCTAGACCTGACGTTAGCCACCCGTTAAGGACTAAGAAAGAGGTCAGGAAGCAGGAGTCAAGCAGAACCCCTGGGTCAGTGATACATTTTCTGCTGCCTCAGTAGGACAGGTAGGAACTCAGGCTGACCATTCACCCAAGAAAAGGTTAAATGCCACAGCATCAGATCATCAGGTAATGAAGGCCCAGGGCAAGAACAGATCCCTAGCTCATTCCTGCCAAGGAGGAGGGGGTGATAAATCCCTCCTGGCATCTCTTAACCATGTTTGAGTCACTACCCAGTCAAAGCCTGGCTGCCAAGGACGGCAGCAGCTCCACAGTCTCTACCAGTAACTAAAATTCCTAGCAAGAATGTATAGTCTTTTTGAGGAATTACCAGAAACTAAGTCTCACACATGAAGATTCTACTTACATAGATCTTTTCAAGCTTGACCAGGGATAATTCCTCTCAGGTACAGTTTATGAGAAAGGCAATCTTTCCACAAACATGTCTGAGATACCTATTATGTGCTTTGCGGGTAAAGGTGATACTAAAATGGTGTCCTTGTCCCCAAAAGAGAGAGAAAAGACAATTCCACCGAGGAAAACACTGTGTAGATCCTGACAGTGAAATCACCTTCTGCCATTGACAGTGCTATAAACCATAGGCATTCCGGGAGCCACCTGAAGGGTTAGACTACAGTCAAAAAGTCCAGGATTGCTGGCTACAAATAAGTCTGCGTGTGGGCCTTCCTTGAAAGGCCTCTGCCACAGAACATCAGCAGCTTAATTTTTCCCCAATTACTCTTAAACTTGAAACTTAATATATTTTAAAGTACCTTGCACTATACCTCTTATTTTATCACGGGCTTACTCCCTGTCTGAATTCACGTGGTTTTGCTAAGGTTTTATACTTTCAGGTGGTATTTCATGGAGGTGTGGCTGATCTTTGTTGGTACTAAGCTTTTATGGTGCCTAAAATTTCACTTGCAGTCCCAGCATTAAGTAAATGCCAAACACTCTGCCCTAAAGAACTAATAATGACGGAGACAGGAGCTGCTACTACAGCCAGGTGGGGGAGAACATGCCCTTTAATCTTTGGGGGGATATATGGCAGCCACTGGGCCAGCCCACTAGCTCCCCAACCCTTGTGTGTGCACGCACATGCGCGCATGCACACGCGCGCACACACACACACACACACACTCTGATAGTTCCTCAGCCCTGATAATTCCAGTCCTCTTGCCCCTGTCCCATTTCTGACCAGCTTTCTTTACCAGATTCACTTTCTGACCAGGATGTTGCAGATACTGCCTCTTTATAGGTACGACATGTAGGTGGGATCAATTTTTATACCAGGGCTCCTCAATATGCAAAAATACCACTGAAAAGTAATACCTAAAAAGAAACAATGAATAACCAACTGACAGCACCAATAAGTGGAGAAAAGCATAACAACTATTTTCCCTCCTCCCTTTCTTTAAACCATAAGCCAATAATAAGCACTCCCAACTGCCCTTCCACGTGGCCAACTCCAGAGTCACCCTACCTTCCACAGCAGAAATCCCGGAGAGAAGGGAAACCAACTCATTACACCTTTCCCAGGTCCCTCCCAGCTGCAGCTAGCATGCCCTTATCCTATTCAACAGACCTACCTTCTCACCTAAGGATTTTTCCTATATCAATCTTGTCTAATTACAAGTGCCAGAAAAGCAAGAAGATGGGGGTTGGGGGGGGAAGAGACAGGGATCAAGAGAAGACCCAGTAGGAGGACACACCTTGTGGTCTCATTCTAAGGTGTGCTGGGACCTCAGCAGTAGGACATCAGGGAGAGAGGAGTAAGCTAGGATGGACAAGGCTATGGCTGGACTTAGCCCCTAGAGGGGATCCAGCAGATGAATCCCCAATATCCAGTAGCAGGACAAACTCTGGTCCCTCTGGATAGCAGAGCAAGTGGGAAAGAGGAGGGTGCAAGAGTGTTACTGTAGTCAGGCCTTAGGTGCCACCACCTACAGGTTAAAAAGACTTCAGCCACTGGGCAAAGGAAAGAGAGAGACCAGTTCTCAGGGACAGGGGATTCATCAGGGCCAAACAGGTTGACAGGGCTCCAGCCAAGCTACCTAAGGTTTATTACAAGGCCCCAGCCCAACAACAACAACAAAAAAACCAAGATGGCAGAGGGAAGGCTGCAGCTCAGGGGCAGTACCAACAGGGGGCAAGAGCCAAGTCATTGGGTGCAGAGGATGGAGGACGGGAGTACAAGTAGGAGGTGTTAGTCACTGTAGCTGGCTAGGCTGAGATAGATGGGGACACATACAGAAAGGTAAATTACGAAACATACACACACACACACAGTAGAGAGAAAGAAGCCTCAGTGGTGGAAAACAGGATCTTGGAGAAAGATGAGAGCTCAGGGCTCCATGTTGAGCATAAAATGAAAGCAAAGACAGAAGGTGGCTTGGGATTCATCCAAAATACAAAGATGCAGACACCTTTGAGAAAAGAGGAGGCCTGGTGTGTCATTGTGACTTTAATGACGGTAACAAGCCTGTGGTTTTCCAGTCTTGGGATTCACTCACCCACACAGAGAGAGGATACATATTTCCTCTATGACAAGAAAATTGAATCTATCCTTCAGTCTAACTGATCTGAGTTGTAAGTGAAAAATAAGACTGTGTTCCATCACTTTCAATCTTTCCCTTCACTCCGAAATAGGTCCTATTATTTTCCTTTATTTTTTCAAATGTGAGAGAGTATTAATGGATAAGACATCAGTCATTCACCCTTGAGATTTGGGAGGGCCTGGGTTTTGTGTCTCAGCCACAGCACGAGAGTCGAATTGCCTCCAGGGGTGGATAGGCTGGGAGGTGGGGGAGAGGGGAGGTGTGTGAAAAGAGAGAAGAAATAACCCCCACAGATTCTGGGTCTACAACTGATGTTTGGAAAGACTCTGGATGAACTCACATAGGGCACTTAACACTTTTATTCTTTTTTTTAAGTTTTATTTAATTTTTATAGTCCTCTCTACCCCCAATGTGGGGCTCAAACTCACAATCCCGAGATCAAGAGTTACATGCTCTTCCAACTGAGCCAGCCAGGCACCCCCACCTTTATTCATATGCACCTCTTTAACGTGCACCAAAAAATAAATTAGAGCATATCTAGTAATTAGGTCTCAAATAAGATATGCACTGGGCTGTGAAGGGATAGGATGTGCTGTCCTCTCCCATCCAACGGCCACCCACACACTTTTGGAGGCCTTCAGTCTACCAAACTGCAGGGCAGCACATGGTCAGAACTTCAGACACCCAGAAAGTCCCAGCAGGTCCTCAGCGTGGGATAATTGGGCAGACCTGAGTGTTACATAAAGTCGACAATGAGGGTTTGGCCAACTACCACCGTGAATGCTCTCCATGGGAACTTGGCATCTCATACCCCTGCCTGGAGAAAGCCCCTGCTCTCCAAGTCCTTTGTTAGTGGTGTTCCAGCCTGTATGGGGCCTTTTTATCCTTCTACCTGGGGTCCAGATAAGGGCAAAAGCTCAAGATGGGAGTAAACTCCTTAGAGCCCCTCCCCAGCTCAGTCTGATTTCTAGGACACTCGGAAAGAAGGAATGTTCAGGCATTCTTCAGGAGCAATGCGGAATGAAAACTCAGGACAGGTCCCTGGAAGTGCCACCCTTCTCAGGAAAGGCAGGGTCATCCACAAGTGTCCCTAGTTGGCTGCTAGATCTGAATAAGGACAACATAACAGACCTCTTTGTCTTCCAGGCCAGCTAAATAAGGATGTGACCTATGCACATTTCTACTCCTTCCTGAACTGTCTCCAGGTGAGCCCACAATGACTTGTTCCAAAGCCACATTCCCTGTTACTGGTCTTGCTCCTCTGTAATCAAAGCGGTGTTTTCTTACTCTCAGGTCAGCCCCTGCCACAGTTGGATGTCCTCCAACAAGACGCTCCGGACTCTCACTTCAGAGGTAGGACTGTAGCAACTCCTTTGATAGCATCTTTGATCTTTCTTTCCAGGTATTTACTGCAGCATTTCCACTGGGAAGGGCATTTGGGCAGGGCAGTGGCCTCCAAGCTGATGAATAAAAACATCAAACTACCAGGGTGTTGGAGAAGCCAAGAGAATGTGGGGTGCCCTCTCCCTCTCTTTCTGCCACTCTCTGGGTCTGTGGCTCTCAGTCACTGTCTCTGTTGTGTGTCTTTCTCTCTTGTACACACACATACATGGATACACATATACCTAGGTGTCCTAAGCGTATTTGTAGACATAGAAAGGATAGAGCAAGGTTAGGCCCACAGATGACTGGCGTTCTCCCAAGGTCCACGAGGACCAGGGGCTACACAGCCTTCCTCTCTTCTCTGAGGACATCCATGGTTCACGTACTTCTTTCAGGGATGGTGAATAATCTCTTTGTAAGAGATTTATTGATTTTTTTTTTATAAAAGAAATATATTTCAATTAAAAAAAATTGGGGAATATAAAAAAGCTGAGACACAAAGAATAATAACAAAAATTACTGCAAATCCCATCACCCAAGCCAATATGTATGTATGTGTTTCCAGTATTACTTTCATAGATATTTGGGGGGTTTTGCCTACACAGTATCAGAGTACACATATTGTTTTGTGCCTTCCAGTGTTCATAAGTTAGTCCTCCACATCATAATTTTGTCATCATTTTAAAGCATACAGCATATGAATGTACCGTGATTTATGTCGCCCCTTAGTGTTGGACATATAGGTTGTTTCCAATTTTTCGCTATGAAAAATAGCACTGTGACTAACCTGTGTGTGTATATACATATTTCTTTCTATACTGTGTCTATTTCCTTCAGACAAATTCTTAGAGAAATTATTGGGTCAAAGGGTTATGCCATGTATAAGGGTTTGATCCCTATTTCCAAATTGCTCTCTAGAAAGGTGAAACAAATTGACATTCTCAGTCACCTCTCCCATGGCAATATTCTATATTATCAAGATTATTCATCTTTTCTTTGCCAATCCCATGGGAAAGAAGTGGTATCTTATTACTTTAATTCTCACTGATTGATTCCTAATGAATGTTAACAGTTTTGTATGTTCGTTAGCCATTTTTGCATGACTAGAATTTCACGGGCAGAGCCTCCCTCCGCTGATGGCTCCTAGTGAGGGTGGGGACTACCAGTTTCTTTGTTCTGCCTGAATTGTCTCACTAAAGTCTAGGTTTCATGGAATTCTCCCTGTTTCTTTTGTATTCAGAGAGCGAAACAACTCTCCAATACACTGAAAAAAATTGCAACCAGCCAGAAATTTACGAACTTCGATCTTTTCTACATGGATTTTGACTTCCGAGATCGTAAGTTGTGTTTGGAGTAGGTATTGACACAAGACAAAAGCAGTGGCTACAGTTTAGAGCCTGACTGAGCAGAGCTTTTATAAGCCAACAGGCAATAGATTGGGCAGGGTGGCTCCCACACATTGGACACACTCACAGCTCTGAGTAGTGAAGAAAGATAAAGTGTGAGACCCTTTCAGGGAGGAGGGAAGCTTACCATCACCTCCTCATTTCACCATCATTTTAGAATCCCTGAAGCAATAGAGCCAATGACCAGTTGGAGACAGCTCTGGGCCGGGAGCCAGCAGATCAATGGAATCACCTACCTCATTCTTGCCAGTTGAGCAATGCCCTGCTTACCTGTGGGCTGAAGAGGAGTGTGGCAGGAATGAGGGATAAGGCAGTGCCTCCCGTATGAATGCTGACTGACCTAGGGGTCCAGTGGCAGAACAGATTCCCAGCCCCCACACATGATGTAACTTATCAGAGTCTTTAAGGGAGGGACCTCGGATTTGCCTGTGGCAAAGTGGACAACCCATCTTCCAGCTTTCTGGAAAGAACGTCACTGTTTCTTTTCTAACATTCTGTCCGAACACAGGGGTCACTGAGGAGTGGCCACACAAAAATGGGGGTGATTATCGGAGCTCCTGATTTATCCTTTACATCTTGACTCTGAAAAATTGTTATTTGTTGACTTTAATCCTCCCAGTCTCATTTTCATTGCTAAGCACTTGTTATACAAGAGAAAAGCCTCCTGTTGATTGACTGCCCTCTGAGATGACGCTAATGGAAAGCTTTACGGTGTATGCAAATGATGGGAGAGGTCTCATCCCGAGTTTATCATCTCTCTCTCCCTGCCACCAACACCCCCAACCCCAGCATCTGGGATGAAGCAGATGGCCATCGTGAATTATCAAACTTTACATTAGCTGACACGTAGGGCAGTGCATACTCTCGTACTCCAATCCTGAACAGCTTTTCAACAGGACTGATCTCCCTTAAGTAGATTTCCTGCCTAGGTGATACATAATTCTCTCCTGGGGAAAGACGTTTTGATAAATAACCTCTCATTAAAATGCAGAGCTAAAGACTCATTAATGAATTCCTGGTGTAAACAAATGCACCACCAAGTGATCTTTGATGATCATCAACCTTGAATATAGATAAAGTTATTAAAAATATAATAATGTCTAACATTCACATGGGACTTTTCATTTTCCAAAGTAATCTCTAGCTCTGTCATTTATTGTCTTTGGGAATGTAGGCAATTCCCTGAACATGTCTAAACTCTCCTTTCCAGACCTGGAAAAGGGGCTGCCATATCAACATAAGAGATCTTCATGATGATTGTATGGGGGAAAACAATGTAATTCTCCTAAATGCTGTGCCTGGTACATAGCTGGTGCCCAGGAAAGAATAGAGTCCCCTCACACCCTTGCTACTCAATGTATGGCTCAGGATGAGCAGTATCCACACCACCTGGGGGCTAGTTATAAATGCAGAGCCCCAGGCTCCACTCCTAATTAGGACCTACCTAATTGGAATTTGCATTTTAACATAATCCACAGATGACCCAGATGCACGTTAAAATTTAATAAATGGGGCTCCGTAATGCTCCAAGGTTAAGAATTTAGTTAGTCATCCGATTTTTACTAAGTCTTACCATGTACATGTAGGTGCTGGGAATATAGCTGTCAGAAAAACAAAACAGCCCTTATCTTCATCAAGGATAGGGAGAGAAGAGTTTTACCCTTGACTCAGTACTACCAGCTTTCCACTGATGACCGAACAGGCTGGAAGCAGAGGCTCATCGGCCCCTTCTTGTCCTCATGGCAACAATAAATGCAATATAAAAGCTAAAAGTTCAGTTAAACTGAACTGAACATTCTAAATCAAATGGCAGTGGGTCATCTTACTGAGAAACCTCCTCTGTATTTGTCCTTACTTGGCAACAATCATCAACAGTTGAAGGAATTTCCTGAGAGACATTTATTAAAAATAAATCTGAAGATCCAGTTTTGGTAGAGGCCTTCTTTGCCTTCTCCATAGGAAGTTAGTGGGTGCTCCACTAGGGAAGACGTACGGGCACAAATGGAGGGAGCGTGCAGACAGAGGATCTGGTGGCCTGCGATCTGCCCGCATGAACAGCTGATACAGCGGAGGGCTCATTCACTCCTAGACCCAACTCCATGGGTAACCGCCACACCTGGGAAGCTCATCATCCCAAAAATCATGGAGGTGCAATGCGCTCTTGTAGAAAGAGCCCAGCATTCGCCACCAGATAGAACTGAGCCCCTATCCCAGCTCAGACACAGAATGACTGTGTAACCTTGAGTAGTTAAATAACCACTCTGCTTTGTTCTCTTTTGTGTAAGGTAACAATCAGTAAACCAGGGAGCAGGTGGGGGGGTGGGGCGGGGGACCTGGGGGTTATGTGAGGATTGAGACAACACTGCAATGTGGTGAGAACCCTCTTAGCTGACATCCTCCCACCACCACTGACATCAGTATATGCAAAGCACCTACTACACTCTTCTAGGGCTTATCATAGAAGGAGAATAAATGTTGATTCTCTTCCAATGTCCAACCCACCTCCCAACACCAATCATACCCGGGGACCACTTTGGGTGCCCTAGAGGAAGCCATGGTGGAAATGTATCTCATTAGCACCGTGGTCTTGTGTTATCAGACTTAAAAACCGTATAGCCACTTATGAAACCTGCAGTCTTAAGGGTCACATGGAAATCTCCCCTCTCATTTCAGTGCTGTATTTGAGCTGATGACTGCATCACAAACATCCTCATTTTTCATATGAAATGTACAGTTCCACCCCCTGTGACAGAGCAAACTGCAGCTGAGGGTCGCTGTCCCTGGAGGGTGGGCATGAGCCCTATCTGTTCTCCATTCTGACAGCGTCAGTCCCGCAGTGAAAGGCTATTGCTCATCTCCAAAGACTCTTTTTTGTCTCTTGCTGACTCATCCTCTAACTGGTTATGAGCTAAACAGAGGCAGCAATTTTTCCTCCCTTCAGGAAATGCCAGCTGGAGCAGGTGATGTCCTTTTTCTTTGTCTGTACCACACCTCCCAAACAGAGGAAGGAAAATGCCACTTGGCTGACAAGGCCATTTTTAGACTGACAGTTTAAATATACCAGCTGCCCTCAGTTTCCAAGACAACTCAATTGGAGTAAACTTGGTCTTAGTTCTCCCCACGTGGATGTTTGTAAAACAACCAATGACTTCATGGTGCTGACCAGAATTCCGATTTCTTGTTTTAAATATCTGCTAGTGTTGCTGTTTAGCAAGGAGCTACCAAGTGCTTATGACTCTTCTTCGATGATTCCTATGGCATCTCTGAAAAGCTGGTCATTGCTGATGACTACTTCGACTTTACAGATACAGAAAATACATTATGCACCAAATCCCAAGAGATCATTTGTGATCATTCAAGAAGTTTAATTCAGGTCTTCTGAGAAAATAGGAATTCATTTACCTATTTTTAATTGTGATCCCAGGCAGGAAGTAAACAGACCAACTTACCATGCTGCCCCTGCTTGGATCTCCTCCTTTACAATCAGTCAGAGGCTCCTGGGTGGCTCAGTTGGTTAAGCATCTGCCTTTGGCTCAGGTCACGATCCCAGGGTCCTGGGATCAAGTCCCATGTGGGGCTCCCTGCTCAGCGGGGAGTCTGCTTCTCCTTCTTCCTCTGCCCCTCCTCCCTCCTCATGCTCTCTCTTTCTCTCTCAAATAAATAAATAAGATCTTTTTAAAAAATTAAATAAAATAAAATCAGTCAGAGAAGAAATAAAGACCACTGGTATTGCATTTATTCTAAGAAAGCAAAATTTCCCCCTGAGATCAACAAATGTAAAAGGGTCACTTTGTCTAGCACTGGTCACAATACAGATAAAACCTTAAACTCTTGCCTGTGAGTTTCTGATTCTCCCTTTAAGTGTTATAATACTGATGTCCGCAGATTTGCAATGACTGGTAACCCTCACAGACACAATAATCATGTGGGAAAATGATGTTTTTCACTCTGAATAGACTGATGGTAGCCTTGGTAACCTGCGGCATTTCTTTTAATGCCTATTGGATTATTCTATATGATAAGCCAGTTCTTCTAAAGACTGGACTCCCTTGTAGTGAGGAGGGATAGGGACTTGTGCAGTGGCAAAAACATGTTTCCTGGCAGGAAGGAATATGTTATCACTGACTCCCAGTAACAGCCAGATGCAAAATATGGAGGAGTGGCTCAGTGGCGGCCATTTTGCAGGAGAAGAAGCCAAAGGGAATTGATGATCCTGTATGTAGGACTTCAAACGACCAGCAGGAATTTTTTCCTGAGCTCTGACAAGGGCAGCAGTATTTGCAGCCCCTCGGGGAACAGGGGTTGGGTAGCAAGGAGGGGTGGCCTGCTGTGATATTAGGACTAATTACAAAAGCAGCATAGTACTGATTCAGCTCTGAGACAGGCTTCACTTGCACAATCAAAGCCTCCGGTAGAATTTCCATTCCTTCTTTTGGGGCGAGATGGGGGGGAACCAAGAGGGCACACACATCCCTGCTCTTGAGTCTTTGTGGAGAAGAGGGAAGAACTGGTAAAATTACAGCCGTGCCTACTCCCCTCTCTGGACGCCAAGGAAGGGAGGGCAGGGGAGACGCGGGGAGCAGCCAGTTTCAAACCTTTCTCTCTGTTGGCTCTCTAGGGATTTGGAAATTTCCTTGAGGAGTTCTTCCTGACTGTATAAAATTACAGTATAGAGTTAATGGTGCTATTGCCTTGGAGCAACCGACAGTCTTGGTCTCTTACTCCTACTGAAGGGCAGTTTTACTGCTTCTCATCACTTTGGGGCTCATAATATTTCCTCTGTAGCCATACTCACTCTAAATGTGATGTTGAGATCATTTTATGTAATTGTATTTCTGAGAAACTGTACGGTGACGGCTTGACATATGCAGACAGCATCTGGAAATGGCAGCCCACGTGAAGAGATGTTAACAAGACGTTTTAACTCCCCCCTCTTCTCTTGCAATCCTCCCCCACTGACAAATGAGATGAATTTACATCGGTGTTGAATATTTCAGAGTTCACCTTTTCCCACCGCCCTCCTCCCTGCACAAACCACATTCACCCAACGCCGTCACACATTTTCTTCCTGAGCTAGAAAATCAAAAAAAAAAAAAAAAGAAAGACCATACAATGCCTGAGATAATAGCCCAGAGCGGCCACAACTGAGTAAAGCATCGGCCAGGCAGGCCCGTGGACAGCTCTGACATTTGGTCCACACGGTCCTTGCTCTCCAGCGCATCGCTAACCCTCTGGTTGTGTGTGCCCTGCAGTCGTGGACGAGTGGCGGAAGAGAGGCGGGCAGCCCTGGCAGCTCATTGAACCAGTCGATGGATTCCACCCCAATGAGGTACGTGCAGTCACACAGCGGTTGCTGAAGGCTATCTGGTAGGTTCGTTGTAAAAGGTAGTTATGCATCCATATGTTTGTTTTTATCCCCTTTTACTCCAGAAAGATGTACTCACATGTCTAAGATAGAAGATTCAATAAAAACCAACTGAAAATCAGAGTAAAAGGCAAGTGAGACCGAAATGATGCCTGGCTTCCTGACTTAATGTCTGCAGTTCATATCATGTGTGCAGGGTATCCTGAGAAACTACCAGCAGGAGCCAGCAGCATCAGCTCTGTTTTCGAGGGGCCGCCATAAAAAGGGGCATACGTCATGGCCTCCATAAAAAATAATAATAAGTCAAATACTCAAAAAGAAATCACAAGGATTCCTGGAAGAGAGACCTATGAGAAATTTCTTCTATGGATCTTTCCAGAAAGGACACTGGATGAGAGGAAAACAGTGTCCTTAGCAATATCCTGCAGTAAGAGCTGTTTCTCATCTAAGATTCCAGGATACAGTTCTGGAAAGCAGTTCTAATCTAGTCTCTTCACAGAGCAAGGAGAGCTAGAGGGTGGGACTCTGTCCCCTCCCACCCTCACCCTATCCATTATCCTAACTTCAACCAGGGAAGCTCTGCTTTTATCTTTCATACATACTGGACCTGCTTGTGATGTTCCTTCATTAAAAAAAAAAAAAAAATGAAAGAAGTGTGGGAGTAGTCCTGCCACTTTTCAAATTTTGAAAGCCGGCAATCCTTTGCAACTCTAGTCTTTCTGGCCTAGCCTTTGGTAAGGACAGTGTGGCAGTGACAAGAGTCTAAACCGGAGAAGCAGTCCTGGTGTGCTCTCCCTGTGGCCTTGGTCTCGGTGGTCAGCCAGGCCACAGGGAGGGCTGACCATCCCCTTGGGAGCCTGAATGGCTTGACAGCCCACCTTCCCTCAAGCGGCAGGCTCACTGAGTACCCACGGGCAGGGCTAAGAACTGTCTCAAAGGAAACAAAAAAGAGTGCCACTCTATCTACAGATGAATACACAGTGGAGTCCCACAAATGCTGGGTAAATTGAAAGTGAGCATCAAATGCCCATCTCCCTGTTTTAAACAACTGAAAAAATAAATCTAAGTAATGCACCTCAGAATATCTAACTTTCCTGGGTATCGTGTGGATCAGCTGATCCAACAGAATTATTGGCTAGAAGCTGGTTAAATATTAGAGTCTGCTCCCCACAGAATGATGACTTTCGTCTAAGAATGGTTTTTAATATGGAGACCTTCTTTCTGGCAATAATTAGGTTGTGGTTCTTGTCATTCCCGCATATCACAGAGTTGTACCTTTCTGATTCTAGAGAGAATTGTGGATATGAAGAAATGGTCAGAGAAGGAGTTAATTGGGAACAAACTAAAAAGGAGAGGGTCAAAATAGCTTTTTTTTTTATCCTTTGGGACATACTTGTCGGATCCATCAAAAGACCATCCTGTCCCTGACACTTAAAATAATATTACGGTTCAAAGTCTGTTATATTAGGGCTCTATCTTGCACTCAAAGAGCTTTGCCTATAACTGATTATCGAGAACAGGGTCGAAAGCTGAAGATCGGGGGGTGGGGGGCACCGGGCAGACTTAGTCGGGTAGAAGATGCGACTCTTGATCTCAAGGTCATGAGTTCAAGTCTCACGTTGGGCATAGAGCCTACTTACAATTAATTAATTAATTAATTAATTAATTAAAACCAAAAAAGCAGAAAATCAGTGTGTGCCGAAATCACATGTTATTCCCGAGAGATTTGTTCCTGTGTGGGTAGTAGGTGAGGGCATGGTGAAGCCACATCCAAAGTGGGCAACAATGGGTTGCCATGCCCAAAACCTGCCTGTTTATCATATATTGAGTTAAAGAGTCCAGACTGCAACTTGCCATCCAAAAATGTTCATTGAGTGCCTAACACAATGAGAATTCAAGAGTGAACAAGAAGCTGCCCCTGCCATCTAAGGAGCTTATAGTCTAGAGGGGAAGAACGACAAGTGAGCAGATAATTAAATATGAAGTGGTCGATGCCTCCAGCTGTGTGAGCATGGGGCTATGGGAGCACTCTATGGGGCAGGATGGGAGAGAGCGGTGTTCGGAAAAGTTTCCAGAGCAGCTCACTCAAAACTAAGAGCAAGAGCGAGTCAAGCGCAGGGGAAGAGGGAGGGGCTACACAAAGTGTTCTGAGCAGAGGAAACCGCATGGGCCAAGATCTGAATGCAGAAACAAAACAAAACAAAAAGCCAGCAGGGCCCTTTGGAGGAAATAAAAGTGCTGGGTCATAGAGAATGGGCGTGGGGTTGAGAGAGAGGAATCAAGAGTACTTACTCAGGGACCAGATCACATAAGGTCTGCACGGGGTTTGACCTTTTTTCTGTGGGGAAGGAGGGGCCACTGAAGGTTTTTAAGCAAGAAAGAAAAAGAACCAGACTTGTGGTAGCGGCTGGAGAATGGTGTGGTGGGGCCCAGGGGAGTGGGGAGAAAGAGAAAGGTGTGTATTGGACAGATTTACACAGTTGAATCAACAGAACGTGGCCATTTATTGGACGTGAGGTGAAAGAGAAAGAGATGTTGGGGCGCCTGGGTGGTTCAGTCGGTTAAGCGACTGCGTTCGGCTCAGGTCATGATCCTGGAGTCCCGGGATCGAGGCCCACATCGGGCTCTCTGCTTGGTTGGGGAGTTTGCTTCTCCCTCTGACCCTCCCCCATCTCATGCTCTCTCTCTCTCTCAAATAAATAAATAAAATCTTAAAAAAAAAAAAAGAGAAAGAGATGCTAAGCATGACACTTCTTTCATGACTTCAGAAATTGGATAGATGATTCTGTTGCTCACTGAGGTGAAGAACACAGAGGACGGGGTGGTTTGAAGAGGAGTTTGGCACACGTTAGATTAAAGGAGCCTGCAGGACATCCAAAATGGGAGTGTATTTTTAGCAGATAATATATAAGCAGAGCTCAGGAAGGGGTCTGGGCGGGAGCTACGGAGGTGCGCACATGAGCACATCGTGACTTAGAGCCTTGAAGAGGAGCCTCTTGTCATACCTGCAAACTCCCCTCCAGATAATGCCCCTTACAGCAGAGGCAGTGTTGATGGATCCTTTTAGAACCTTATGTTATTATTTTAAAAACTAATAACTTAAAATTGCCACACATGCGTGCGCATGCACACACACACACACACACACACACAAGCAAATGATCCACAAAACATAGGGAGCTATGGGAGTCCACATCTTTCCATCTTAAAAGAGCCAGATGGGCAAAGTTGGTCTAAGGACCTCATATTAATTGCATGGACATAATACCAACCAAAGGAGTAGACTCAGGCCATGTTCACATGCACTCCTACCAATTCCTGAACATCTGAGCAAAAACAGTTGGTACGGGCCCTTACCCACCAAGGGGGAAGCAGGGTTTATACTATTAGCCTATTTCTTTCTAAAACCCTACAAGAGAAGTGGTGGGAGTGTTGATTCAATTGTTCCAATTTTCTTAGGAAGACCAGTTTAATTAAGTATAAACATGAGTTGTGTTGAACAGTTCAAATTCATGATTGATACATTATAATTTTTTAACCAAATTATATCTAAATCTACACCCTTTGCTTATATTTTAATGGAAAATAACCAGGCATAGAAAAAAATCTTAGTATAGACTGACAACTGCTTTACCTTTTCAGCTCACTCCCTAAATGTAGAACCAGAATTTTAAGAAGTATCCTTCTTCAATAGGAGGGGAAAAGTAGGTTACAATGCAGACTTGAGAGTTGATGGGATTTGGTGGGTGGGAAGGAGATGACTCATAGGACTGGGCATCTGGATGAACAGAAATGAAAAATACCAAGGCAAGGAACCCCAAAGAGGAAGGGGCAGACTTAAGCATTCTGAATTTGGGGTGCCTGCGCAATATCCAGATGGAACTGTCTAAATCACCATTAGATCAAATTGATGGGTTCTGATCTCAGAAGAGGGGCCTGGCCTGGAGACACAGGTTTGGAAATCATCAGTATCTAATTGAGAACTGGAGACACTTGCAGGAATGAGATTGGCCCATGGGGTCAAATTGTGACCATTGCCCATCACAGAAGGACCCACTGGAGAGGAGACCCAGGAGACCATTTGAGGCCTCCAGTAAGAACAGGTATAGTAGAGAGGGAAGAATAACTGACTGAGAAACTGCTGACCAAATGCAGAGAAAGTTTGACTTATAAAAGAAAGGATATGGCAAAGACCCAAGAGCCAGATTTGTGGCCTATGGAAGCCACAGCAATTCTACCAATTCAGATGCTTTTTAAAATCTCTGCAAAGCTAAGCCTCTGAAGAGGTTCTTAAAAGACCTCTGGGCCTAGAACCAGACAATAGTAAACAGAAAATCTTGGAAGAGCCACAGACATAACATCAAGTCCAGTGTCCCTGGCTACTCTGAGACCACCCAGCTAAGCTTCCCTGACACCTCCTGCCTTAGCAGCTTTGCCCAGCAGAGCTCTCTGCAAGACCACCTCCTCTCCTCTCATGATGCCAGTAGCAGCTCAAACCATCCTCCTAAAACTCTTCCTGCAAGCAATACATTTTCCATGACATCAACTCCCCGACTTTCTCTTGAGCCCTGAACCTTGTGCATTGCTGGAGGCAGATATAAGATACTAATCAGTGGATTGGTTTTAAATTACATATATGTATTTGGCTTCAATATTTATTATGTATATAATCGGTTATTAAATGTTAACAGCCTCCAGGTCTTTGTTTAGCTCAGCGTGGAAGCCCCTGGGAACCCAGGGTCCTGGGTGGACTTGTGGAGTCCCTCAAAGAAGGAAACGATGTTGGCAGTGGGGCGGGTAGAGAGGAGGGCCTTCTGGGCCAAGGAACCTTCAGACACTTTAGGCTGGTCCTCCTGCCCCGTGCACCGGGGACCGTGTCTGTTCAGTTTGCTTTATACATAAAGCCAGCTAGCGACAGTGGCTCTGGAATGACACCCTGAGTCAGCACAGAGAGGCTAGGGCTG